AGAAGAAGGCGCCATAGCTAGGAAAGCCCTAGCTAGGCAAGAAACAGTTTAGGCAAAGAAGGAGGAGTTGCACTAGCAAGAATGAGGATACAAATAGCAAACCCTAGAAGGGTTGTACTCGCTATAGAGCACCCCACTACAGGCTAGAACATAATATTCTGACACACCCCCATAGCCAAAGTGGGGTGTAATCAGCAGAGCAAGCAAAGCAGAACAAGCTCAGGGTGGATCACAATGTCACCACACATTCTGAGCACAAGTTCAGGAAGCAATAGTTTAAAGTTCACAATTATGAGCAAAGCTAGTGGTAGTCACAACGGGCAAGTGAGGAGGAGGAGGGACAGTGAGAGGAGAGGAGAAAAGAGGCGACGGCTGAAGCTGCAGACACACGGGCAACAGGAGGCACACTGGCACAGCGGCTACCGGAACAGCGCTCCGGACTACTGGAGTAACTGGCCCCGCGGCTAAAAGTAGCGGCAGACGAGCAACGGACCCACGGGCGACTGGCACAGGTGGCTACGACTGGGCTACCGGAGCAACTCCCCGGACTACAGGTGCTGCCGGCGACACGACGGCAACCTCCGTTCAACCTCCCCCAAACAGTACCACCCCCCCTGACACACCCCTAGCTCCACTCCCCCTTCACCCCCCCTTAGTACCACTCCGACGGCTCCAACAGGTCCACCCCCCTTCAGCGGCAGCTGCAGCACAGGGAGACGGAGGAGGAGGAGGAGCAGGGAACGGCACACAGAAGCTGCACCCCCATACCCCTCACCCCCAAACCCTAATCCAGGAGAACGGGCAGAAGGAGGGGTGGGGCGCCTTCAGAAGCACGGGGGACAGCGGGGAGGACAGGGGCAGCGAAGAACGGGCCGCCCACGGGCCTGGCACAGCCTCCCGAACCGCGCGCAGGCGGCCCGAGCCGCGCGCGGGCCTGGCGCAGTCCGTACGGGCCGCGCGCGGGCCTGGCGCAGCCCGTACGGGCCGCGCGCGGGCCGGGCGCAGCCCGTACGGGCCGCGCGCCGGCTGTACGGGCCGCGCGCAGGCCACGACGGGCGACGGGGGGCGACGCGCAGGTCCCCGTCGCCCGTCGTAGCGCCTCCTGAGGGCGACGCGCCGAGTGACGGGGCAGAAACCCGTCGCGCGCCTCGGGGCGCACGGCGGGCAGAAAACCGCCGCGCGCCTCGGGGCGCACGGCGGGCTGAAAAACCCTAATTTCGACACCGCGCACCACGGGGCGCGCGGCGGACAGGGAGTAGCAGTAGCAGCGGAAGCAGTGAGGTGGGGCCCACAGGCCAGGAGCATATCGCTCTAATACCATGTGAAGATAAGCAGTAGAAGAAGGCGCCATAGCTAGGAAAGCCCTAGCTAGGCAAGAAACAGTTTAGGCAAAGAAGGAGGAGTTGCACTAGCAAGAATGAGGATACAAATAGCAAACCCTAGAAGGGTTGTACTCGCTATAGAGCACCCCACTACAGGCTAGAGCGTACAGGTTGTACGACACACCCCGAAAGGTCGACTGTGGCAGAGAGAAAGAGAGCAGAATAGGACTCCTCCAGGCCAGATGTTTGAAACAACCTATCAACGCCGCGGTGGGAGCGCCATGGAGGCTGAGGCTGAGGAGTGGAGGTGGTCGGCGGAGGGGAGGGGGGAGAATGAGAGGTGAGGGGCAGGTGGAGGATAAGCGCGAACATGAGCGCCGTCCCCGTGCCATGGCGTACTCTCATTGGAGGAGTCAAAGGTAAAGGTAGGGTGGAGGTGAACCCCCTATGGTTATGATGAGCTGGGCAGCTTGTAGAGACGGCATACCTGGAACCGCGTTTGAAATGGTGACTAGGAATAGAGTCACGGCAGGACTCACGAGTCATTCATTGGTTCATAATTGACTTCGAAAGGTTCATTCTGCTGCAAACTATGAGAAAATGGTGATAAAAAAACAAAACAAAACAAAATGTTATGAGTACAATTGAGTGAGCGAGCTAGGATTGCACTACGGTATCGAAGCAAAACATTCCAATGAGCGAAGGAATGAGCAAAACATTCCATTTTTATCTATTTCAACCCCAGCTTCCAAAATGGCGTGCCCCATAAACTCTAACCGGTCCTGAAAAAACTCACACTTGGAACCCTTTGCCAGTAGTTGATGCTCGTCTATAATTCTGACGACTACTTCTAGGTCTGCTAAGTGCTGCTGCTTGTCCCAGCTGTAAACTAAAATGTTGTCGAGGTAAACTATGACGAATTTATCTAAAAGTGGCCTAAATGCCTCGTTCGTCATCATTTGAAATGTTGGGGGCGCATTGGTCAGCCCAAATGGCATCTCTGTGTATTCGACACAGACCCATACCTAGCTCTAAAAGCTGTTTTGGCGCAGCCTGTCTGTTCGACTCTAATCTGGTGGTAACCTCCGCGTAGGTCGATCTTCGAGAACACCCTAGCTGTTGGCAATTGGTCGATCAGTTTGTCGGCGCGTGGGATGGGGTATCGCGACCAGGGCTCTCGTTATCAGACCAAATCGGTCTGATGGTCTGATTTTCACACCTATTTTTATGCTTTCATCTGATTCTTAAGACAGTGCTTTTAATATTGTTTGATCCATAAGATAAGTGATTTTGGTTCATCTGTTTTTTCAGAGCAAGAGTAATACTTTATCTGAAATTTCAGATAACGAGTTTTTTTTCGTCTGATACCGCCCCCCATCCTCACCTCGCCTCCCATTTTCCCCACCCCTCTCCTTCCCGAATTCCTCGCTCCTCCACACCAGCCCATCCCCCCTCCCCCTCGAGGCATTCGCTCCTCTACCAATCCTACTCCAGCCCTTCTCCCCGTAAAACCCTGAGGTCCCTTCTCCCCACCCAGCCCCCTTCCCCATAAGTCCCTCCGTCCCCCCTGGTTACTCGCATCGCATCTCATCTTGTACTGTGCATTTCGAGACTATACACCTGATTATTTTACATGCATATTTAATCTAAGTGTGGATGTATGAAGTCTAGACCACGTACGCTCGTATATCAACAAACGCTCATCTATGGTAACGACTCCACTTTCCTGCATAGGTTTGCTTCAAAACGCTCGCCTATTCTTGCTCTACCGAGTCTCAAGCTCTTTATTGAGTAACGACTCCACTTTGAAATATACATTATCTAAATCAGTGCCACCAGACTTGCTGATAGAGGTTACTCTAGCGAGATTTCCCAAATTTCGTAATGAGAACCTGCCTACCGCGTGCAACATTTGGTCCCGTTACTGAAATGCTCGCTTCGCTCGTTTGTAACACATGGTTCTCTTGTGGATGCTCGAGTGTGGGATGAGATATGTGAGTGCAGGAATGAGGCTTGACGAGGTCATGTTGAGTTGAACCTCCTTTCAGGGCGTATTCCAAAGCACGGACACCATCCGAAGTTGGGCCACGCGGTCCGCAATGTTGGAAATTCGAATTTCAATGTTGCGCCACGCGGTTCGGCATCAAGACACTTTGGAGCTGACGGCCACGTAACATGCGACCGTCTTGCACGTCTTCATGCGACAAGGGGTTTCATGCCATGTTGGTGTATGATTGGGACATTGAACCTGACAGGCTGAGTACGTGACCAGTTACCGTCACGAAACTTTACGCATTCTGACCCGCGCGCTAGTCGGTTGTACAAACTCCAGATCCTCACGACGTGAACAAGTACTCGCTGCTCTGAACACCAAGCCAACCAACATAAAAACACATCGCTATGCTCACAATACTACGCTCATCACTGCACACTCCGCCATTGACGCAACCACAACCATGGCGACGAACGATTCCGTCGCCGCATTAGCGGCTATCACAACATTCCTCCAGTGGAAGAAACAAGACGACGACGAGACTGACAAGCTTCTAGCGACAGCGGCCTCCGAGTGGATCAGCAGCATGAACCTCCCTGCTGAACGTGCTACATCAAGGCGGGCCACGAGGATGGCAAGGACACAGCAGCGCGCGCGATGGTTAGAGGCGATAGAAACCATGTCGGAGCACGAATTTATAGGGTTATTCCGTATCAACCGGAACATTTTAGAGTACCTCGAGACCGAACTTGCAGAATTGTTCCTCCCATTGACGCGAACCGTCAACATCCCATTGCGCCTATGCATTCTGATCCCTTTGAAGTATTTGGCGACGGGCATGACGTATCTTGATATGAGCTGGTTCTTTGCTGTTCCAAAAACAGTGTGCCACCAAGCTGTGGACATCTTCCTTCGTGAGTTCCCTCTCAGGTTCAAAGCGGAGTGGGTACGCTTCCCTTCGCCAGAGGCCATGACTGAAATGGAGCTGGAGTTTCGGGAGTCCAAGGGCGTCCCGAACGTCATCGGAGCCGTCGACGGCACGCACATTCAAGTGCGAGGCATCGATGACTACCGCAGCGAGTACTACTGCCGCAAGCAGATGTACTCTGTTCAGCTTCAGCTAACAGTCGACTCAAAATGCAGGATCTGGGATTACGTTGTGGGGTACCCAGGTGCAGCGCATGACGCGCGTGTATTCACGAAGAGCGCTTTATATGGACGATTACAGCAAGGAGACATCACACCCTACCAGCTACTTGGAGACGCGGCCTACCCATTGACCGATTTCTGCCTAGTTCCGATTCACGCAAGCCGGACACGTCTACTGCGAGGTTGGGAGCAAACATTTAACTACGTGCACTCTTCTACGCGGATGGCTGTCGAGCGCGCCATGGGACTATTCAAAGGCAGGTGGAGGATCTTCAGTAATTGTCACGAGTGCAAGCTGTGGAGGGTGTGTGCGGAGGTGGGGTGTGCTGTCATTCTTCACAACATGATCGAGCAGCAGGAAGAATGTCGGGGGATTGCACGCGGAAGAACGCGCGGACCACCGACGCGCGCAAGGAACCCGTGGTGGGAGCGCCATGGCATGCGACAGTATCGGTGGCATCCAACTCCCGCCACATCCCGTGCGGAGGTGGTCGAGCGGCGCCACCGCTTCGGCACCCGCATTCACGCTGCCTGGCTTAGGCGCCATGAGGAGGACGCGTCTGCGCCTGAGCAGTAGTGAAATACCACTGCCCATTGCTGTCCTGCGCAAGAGGGGGAGGGACATTGCTGATGTATGAAGGGTCGGCGAAGATCTGACGCGCTCCCAGCGGGTCAGCAGCGTACGGCGCCGATGAAGGGGGCGCCATGATCACGGAAGGCGCCGTAGAAGGGTCGGAACGGGGCGGCCCATCTGATGGAGTTGTGCCACTGCGACCCCCGGGTGACGCCGTTCCGCCAGTCGCGGGAGGTTCCTTGCTTGACGGTGCTGGCGCCATGCGCTCGAGGACAGCTAGGAGGCGCTCGAAAGCCGCGTCCTGCCTGCTGTTCCGTTCGTTCATGATGCGCGTGATCGTGTCGGCCACGAGGAGATGCCCGGCGTACGCCGGAGATTCCATGGCGCGGCGACGAACGGGAATGGTAGGGGGGGGCGTGCCTGGAGTATGGGCGGGTAGAGGGGTAGAGGAGGGCGTGAAATGCGTGAATGCTCGTAATCGTAGTTGCAATCCGATTGGTTATGCTACTGGTTTGTCGTTCCAAGGCAGGAATTGTCAAATCATTGCTTATGTCCGCGGAATCATTAAATGAATGAACGAGCAGAATTGACATGTGCACTTACCTTCAATCCCCACATCCGGGTTTCCCAAAGGCGCCGTCGTTCGTGTTGGCTGTGCATTGGCGTGGCGCGCGCCTCCTTCATCCACCACGTGCGGATTGGGCGCCCTGTCGGCGTGTACGAAATTGTACACGTATAGGAACCAATCCGGCTTGGGAATTGGAACGGCTCCAGATTGCGCCTCATCGGTAAGAATGTCGCCCATTTTTAACTTCAGCCGTGTCCACTGCTTTGCCATCGCGTCAGATGGGCGCCTCCATTCTGGGTTGGTGTTGCGAAGGACTCGGCGCATCTTCTTCCAAGGCTGTGCGCCTTGCTTGCCCTTCATGTTATCCCAATCCCCTTTCGCCATCCACATTGCAGCCGCACGCTCAGTAAGCTCGTCGTCGGTCCAGTGAGACTTCTTAGGCTTCGACGTAGAGGCCTTGCGCTTCCCTTTCGGGTCGCGCGGATCGACTGGCTCGTCTCCGTCGTCGTCCACAGCATCCGCGGCCGTGAAACCGTCAGAGTCGCAGTAGGATTCGTCGTCGGAGTAGGCGCCGTCCTCCTCGCAAGGAATCGGCGGCTCCTCCTCATCAGGGCCCGCGTCGCCAAGTCCCACCGCGGTAGGTTCAGCATTAGGCGAAACGCCAGGGCGGCGAGTGCCCTGTGAGTCCGTGACTCCAATGAGGCGAAGGCGACTGATCCCCATGTCCATCTGCTGCTTCATCCAGACAACAAACGGAGGATCAGGGCGTGGCGCAGGGGGTGACTGTTCTTCCACTGCCTGAGCCCGAGAAGCACGTTTTTTCCTAGGAGCCATTGTGAGTGGGTGGGAGAGGACCTTTGCTGGCTAGTAGTTGGTGTGGAATGTGTTATGACGAGTGCAAGTTTTGTATGGTTTCAAGGCACGGGAAACAAGAAGCATAGAGTTGGAAGGGATGGAGTGCCAGATCGCGAGTGTCAACCAAATCGAATGTTCAAAGCGGGGGAAAAAACGATTTCGCGGCACAAGTTTCACAATTGCCCGCGAAGTCAGAACTGGACGTTTGGCAGGCTACACTGCGACGGGTTCTGGCAGATTCTATTGGGCGCGAAGCAAACCAAACCAGCTCTGCGTCAGACGACGCAGACGACCGTTCCGGCCAACCCTGCGACCCCAAAAGTCAAGAGTGGGGGCCTGCCCCACACAGACACCATCCCGAGCCCCAAGAAGTTCGGATGGGGCCACTTCGGATGGTGTCCGTGCTTTGGAATACGATCTCAGACTGACAACGAAGGCAAGCAGAGTGTCATATTTGTGTATGTAAAACCAGTGTGCCATGGCGGACGTGGCGTGTCTCTCCACAATACGACCAAGTCCGGCCTGTTTATCCTCCTCCAAGGCTTTGCACGCGTCGAATTCAGGAGCTTGCGTGCGTTTAGGACCTGTTTCTCTCCTGCCTTGCCTTCGGTCTGTCGCATTTTCGCAGAAGCACAGCCATCGTAGGGAATTTCCGGGATTAAGATTTCAGAGTAGGCGTGCGAAAGTCGTCGTTGCAGTCGCCGCAGACGACTTTACATCGTTCACGGACGAGGATTGGCTGGCGAAGCTTCCAGACAAATCATCCGCGTTATACGCATGCAGCTTACCGTCGATCGAGGCGTGGCTCCGGTCGTTAGGGTTTCAGCAATCGGCCGCGAAGCCTGAGCTCTGGCGTCTTGAGCGGAGCGACTGGCATGCGGAGCTGGTGACGGATGTGACAGATGTGGTTGTGAGGTGAGCGCCTGAGGTGTGATTTTGGAGACGTCTCAATAATCGTCTCCTTCCATGGGACATTTATGTTGAAAGATGGCATACGGAGCTGGTCACGGATGCATCAGACGTGGATGTGGTGGTGAGATGAGTGCCTGAGGTGTGGTCAATGTCCAGATTTATGTATATTCGAGTCGTTAGAGAAGAGAATTTGAATGCAAGGATGGTTTTCTGGTTTGGATCAACAAGCTTGAGGAGTTCTCTGAAGGTGGCCGTACGATACACAGCTGGTCAAGGGAGCGGTCCTCTTAGGCTAACTTTCTGGTTGGTTTTATTACTGGCATCGGCATGTTGTGATGCTGGAAGCTGGCATTTCAGTTCTGTTCTTTCTCCCTGAGCCTTCGCCTGATTTCATTCACTTCTTGGAGCCGTTTCTTTAATCAGTGATAATTCATTCAGATCTTCTGTCTTTGTTAGTTTAGTTTCATTCCATGCTCTCCACCATGCTCTGCTGTCATCGCCAGGTACTTGAAGAGTGGACCTGGCAACCTGAGCAGAGACATTGAACGGAAGTTCAGCTATTCTTTCAGCAGAGAGGACGTGGAGAAGGCCATTCTTGATGGCCCTTGAAAACTTTATTTGATTGAATCCTGGTAGGTTTATTCTCCAGTTAATGCATGCCATACTTTGGAGTGTCTTTATTCATCTCTTTCTTGAGTTGAAACCCGCATGTTTTTACCTGTGCAGATTGATAGCGTATTTGTGCTTAAGCAGCAGTTACATTCCATTTTTCCATCAAAGTTCACCATCTCCCGTTTTTGGAGATTCTCCATTTATCTATGGTACTGGACAGGTGCATGACATGTGATTCATCCAAGTATTCATTGAAGATGCATACCATACAATCATGCCAAACACTGCCCTCACACCAGTATGGCTTCCTAATGTCTAGGGATTCACTACAACACGTCTGGTATGAAAACATCTTCCTCTTTGTCATTTTGAACGCCTCCAGAAGCTCCAACGGTACCATCGCCATTTCTTTCGCCACAACTCCCAGCAGTACCATCATCGCCTCGTGTGATTTCACCGCCTCTTTTGCTGCCGCGATCTTCTATATCACCCCCGTCTCCTGTCTTGCCGTCCTCTCCTATGCGACCGTCACTTTCTGTACAAGCATTGGTACAAGAATCGCCTCCTGTACCACCGTCACTTCCTGTGCCGCCGTCCAAGCACATGGGCTCCATTCCCAGAAACGAGGCTCTCCCTCCACCGCGCCCTTCCTTTTCCCGTCGAAACAGCACGCTTGCATGCGCCCTGCTCTCCTTGCCAAATCTCGATGGACTCTGCTGCAAACATCCCATCCTACATGGGCTAGTACCCGTACCTGTATGTACAATCCTGCCTAACCTCGAAGGACTACCAGTTTGATGAACCACTCCACCAGACAAATTCTGGTGTACCACCTGGGTATGTACAGTGCTGCCAAGCCTATAAGGGAGGTTTGGAATCTGAACCGCGCCCACTCCAGGGCTGTGTAGGTGGCTATGTACAGTGCTGCCGAGCCTGGACGGGCTGTGAAACGCACCAATCACACCAGGGCTATGGACCCCTCCAATCCCAGGGCTGTGCATGCGTGAATAAAGTGCTCCAAATGCTCCGAACCTGGATGGGCTGTGCAGCCTGATGAGCTGGGAAGGGCTGTGGAAGCCCAAAAGCTTCGAAGGGCTCTGAATCCCTGCGATTCCGGAGAGCCTACACGGGCTGGTTCGTGCATGCAGCCGTGCAGTGCAGTGCACCCCAGCAGCAGCAGAAGCAGCAGCAGAAGCCCTCACAGGGCTGCAGATATGTGGAAGGTGAGACGGGCTGTGCATCCAGAAGGACGAGGCTGGCAGCAGCAACGTGGGACTCTCACTGCGGCTTTGGGACTGTCTCAGAGTTTCACTTGGGCCATGGTTCGGGCTCGTGATGGTTTCAGCAGGGGACATGTATTTGCTGCCGATATCCTTCTGGCTCTTGCTGCTCCCATCGTCCTCCCCTCCTTCCCCTGCAGCTCCCGTCTTCCCAGCACCTCCCTCCCCTGCAGCTTCCTCCTCCCCAGAATCTCCCTTCTCCCCTGCCGCTTTTTCCCCTGCTGCTTTCTCCTCTGCTGCTGTCCCATGCCCCCCTGGCTGCTCTCCGCTGCTCCTAGATTCCAGAAGAGCCGACGAGGGTAGCACCAGGTGCAACGGACTAGCATGACCCCTATGGGGGGGTTCAATGGAGCTTCGAAACACACCATCGCCACCTTGCACGTGGGCTTTAATGGGGTTAGTACCGCTACTTCCCTTAAGTGGGGCTTTAAAGGCTCTAGGACTGCCCTTGTGGGGGCCTTCAATGGAGCTCCGGCATTCCCTGCGCCCTTGCCTGGGATTACCCTGTCCTCTTGCCGAGCCTGGGCTCAACCCGCTTCGTGCCCCGCCGAACCTGACTGGGCTGCTGAACCTGGACCTCAGGCTCGGGCTGTGCAGGTTCGCGTGCCACAGGTTCGGCGGACTGTTGAACCTCCTCTCCCTGGCTGGACTCCCGAGCCTGGACCTCAGCCCTGGGCTGATCAGCCTCGCCCCCATGAGGTTTGGGCTGCTGCTACCCGAGCCTCCCAAATTCAGCACAGCGATCCCTGGACTCCCGAGCCTGGAAGCCATCAGGTTCGGGCTGCGGAGTCTTGAACCTCCAGCAACGGGGCTGTGCAGCTTCGGGCTGCCCAGCAGACCCAGGCTTTGCAGGAAGCGGCGAGTTTCAGGTGACAACCCAGGTTCAGGGTGTGCAGGAGAATTTTCAAACACACCCTGAAGTGGGTTTAACACATGAGCATGAAGCGAATTCATTATCCCATGAGCAGCAGGAGACGAGCCGTCCCCATTGTGGTGGTGACACCAGCCTGCGTCCTGATTGGTCCGCGTGGGCGAGTCGGAGTGGAAGGCAAAGCAACTGTACGCTCTCTTCAGCGTGTTACCCGGTGAGGAATTTCTCAGAAATTCCGGCGTGGTGAATGCTGTTTCCCCTGCCACCTTGCCTGTCAAATGGTCTATAGTCGTTTCCTGCTTCGCTGAGTCTCCAGCCCCTTTCATTGTAGTCACATCGCTACTCTCTCCTCCTCTGCCCTCACCACCCACTCCCTTCTCCTTCCCCTCTGTCCCTGCCACTGCAACCCCTCCACCCACAACCTCCAAAACTCCCTCTGTCTCACCTTTCCTCCGGTCCGCTTCCTTCCCGTCGCCTTCCTTCCTTGCTGCTACATCTCCCACCGCTTCGAAAGCACCAGCATCCTGACCTGCGTGGTACACTCCATCCGCGTTAGCAGCATGTTCCAGCCGTCCCTGAATATCCTCTCCCGTTAATAGCACTTCCTGCATGGGCACATCCTCAGTAGAAGCAGCTGCAATTGCTGTGGATAAATCAGTATCCATAGGGTCACAGGCGCTCGGATCCTTTTGCATGGTGGTGTTATTGCTGATTATGGGCTTAAAAGGAGACAGCTTGTAATGAGTAAAGGGTGTTTCGCGTGGAGGCGTGAAGAAATAGCTCCCGTCGTCTAGAACAATCTCTTGGAGGTGAAACCCGTCCAGGAGGATTGGATCGGGCAGCTCGAAATCTTCGTCCTGCCCGTTATGTGACTCGGAGTGTAGCGGAGGCATGCTCTCCCATTGCTGCTGCTGCTGGTTGTCCTGCTGCTGCTGCTGCTGCTGCTGCTGTTCCTGATAGTGGCGATAATGCTGCTGATGTTGATGCTGCTGATAGTGATGCTGCTGTGAATCCCCGTGCTCGTATGGATGATACATGACTGGGTGGTGCCGCTGCTGCTGATGCTGCTGCTGCTCTGCTAACTGTTGCTGCTGCTGCTGCTGCTGGTGCTGCATTAGCGGCTGCTGTTGCAAATGCTTCTGAGTTTGCTGCCGAGACTGCAGTTGCGGGTCTGAACCTTCGAGTCCAGCTGTCCCTCCTGCCTCTTCTGCTACAGCCGCTGACGTGTCAGCTGCTGATGTGGCAACAGCTGACGTGGATCCAGCTGGGCCTCTAAGAGTGAACGGTGGTTGGCTGAGGGGCAG